TTAATTCATGGAGAACAGAAGAGAAAGGAAAAGATGAGCACAAAAAGAAGAATTCCAGAATGACGGACAAAGTTAGAAGGAATGAATCCAAATCATTTTTCCATATTCGACAAAGGAAGGATCAGCATTCACTCCTAGTAGATATATTGCTGTTTGATGCATCCCCTCTGCATAATATCACTCATTATTTCCTGTTAAATTCCGAGGATGTAGGAAGACCAAATATTTTTAATTGCATTTTTTTATACTACTGGATTTTATACATTCTAGATTCGTGGAAATTTTATAAATCTTTGTTATGTTTTGAAGACTTGCGTAACTTATCTTTGCATGTTGCTGAAGAGATTCATAAAATGAACAAAAGATTAAACTTCAATCCTCCGTTCATATGAATTTCTTTTGGCTTGTCTCCTTACAAATGTTGTCAGTTCAAAATTCAAAATTAGTTCTGAGCTATAATTTTTGGATGCTACACAACAGTGATTTTGGAGAAGATATTATTTCATATCAAATAACAGTTTTCTCCTACGAAATCATTTTATTCAACAGATGGGGTACTGAAATGGAGATTTCCAAGTTGTAATTAATCGAAAAAATGCGTTTTGTTTAAATTTTTCTATATATTAATTTGCTTGATTTTGATGTTTGTTAAAATGTTTATACATTGGTTCCTAAATAATAAACCGGTAATAAAATTCCCATAAAGTAGATAAGTGCGAAGTCTGCATCATTTTATATTTTTTGGATATATGGAAAGAATTGGGTGTCCTGTTCATAACCTATTCATTGATTTTTAAACATTTCATTATTAATTCATTCCGCATTCAATAGATAAAATATTGCTTGCGAAGCAGAAGGTGAATGTTATCGCTTTAATTCACTATCAAAGTTCTTTCTCTATCGATATCTCGTAATGAATGCAATAAACTACTACAATTTGTACAAGTGCGATAATTCGCCATCCGCTTGTACCTTGTTGTCCTAATTATGCCGTTCCGGTGACATAGGATGTACAATTTGCATGCTCATATTTTACGCTGCTGTGCGGTAAAGCGTTAAAACTGGTGTTCACAGGTGTTCCACATGGGTCGTCATTGCTTGTAGGTTTTTGTAAGATAATTTGTGATATTCAACGTATTATAGGGCAGTTGACGGTTTACCGTTTCAGTTATCAGACAGTCACAATAATGGATCGTTACCGACGAAGAAGAGTAAGTTTATTGATAGTTTCAAAATAAGAGCAGTAAGTGGTACAATTAGTTGAAAATTTACATTATTACTTTTATTTACATTGACAGTTTGTGTATAGAAAGTCGGTATTGAAAATGGATATTGTTCAGAGTTCCAAACCTTGTTAATTTTTAGAAAGAAGACGAAGAAGCGGAATTATCAAAAGCTTATGAACAGTTTCGTGAAGCATTCGAAGATGGTGCATCGATCGCCAGTAAATCATTTGTACGCGGTGCTGTAGTTAATGCGAATAAAGTTATGGAAGGTAAATAAGGAAGCAGTTATGTTTTTATGATTTAAATCGTCATGAGTTAAAAAAATGTTGCTTAGAGGATTAATTAAAACACTTGAAGCTCTAATCGAATAGATCAAGTTGTACTTTTACAGACATGAGTTCGAAACCTTCTATCTACAATCCAAAAATCGAACTTACGAAAAAAGCTTCGGTTGTACCAAATTCATTTGAACAAGCAAAAAAGATCGCGGAAGAAAAAGCAAAACGTATGATGGAGGAAGCTCGAAAAGCAAATTTAACAACATCTAGACCGCCTCGACCCGGAAAGGCACAGCAAAAAAGCCGAACAAGTAATTTGGAAGCCTTCAAAGAGGAATTGAAAAGGTATACACCGTCTTTTTGTTCAACAGCATAAGACTTTTACTTTCGCTATATGCAACGAAATATTTTCAAATCTCCAAAAATGTTTCTTCTGTCAAGGGTTGCGAATTTTCTTACATTTCTTTTGCAGCATGCAAGAAGAGCGGGAGCAGCGGAGGCATTTACGATCTCAAATGGAACAGATGGGCATGGAAAAAGAAGCACTGGATCGTATCGCACCACTTATTGATAATCCATATTTGCATGGAACTGGAGAGTATGATAATGACCCGAATACAACTAACATTTATCTTTCTAATTTGTCGCTTGAGGTAGGAAACTGTTCTAGACATTTTTCTCGCTCAAAGTTATTTTCTGTCGTTTTATGAGGGAGTAGTAGGCATTAAAAAGATTATCTTTTCATCTTATCAGAAATAGTTTTAAGACTATATTCTATTTTGAAAATATTCAATTGTTTAATTTTGTTACAGATAAAAATTGAGGATTTATATAATACTTTTGGCACTTTTGGACCGTTGGCATCCGCCAAAATTTTATATCCTCGTGAAGAAGATCGCAAACGGGAGCACTTATGCGGTTTCATAGCATTCATGATTCGTAAAGATACTGATCGAGCCATTCAAGGAATGCAGGGTAAATATATCAGGGGATCCGAAGTGCGCATGTCTCTTGCAAAACCAGTCAGCATACCACCTCAGGTCTGTAATGTTCGGTTGATGCATCATTGGTCTAAGCATTTGGAAAATTCGTGCTTACTTACTTAGCAAAGGTACTGTTATATCCTTTTTTAAATTTCTCAAATGTGGTTGATCGATTATCTTCGTTCAAATTCTAGCCGATTTATGTGCCGCCTGCTTTATTGGAATTTGCCATGCCGGATCCTCCTACTGGCTTACCATTTAATGCGAAACCACGGAAGTGTGACCTGGATGCACTGCTAAAGAAATGTCCATTGCCGCGTCTTGGTAGTTCCCTTCCTGAACCCGGTCACGGTTTTGAGGAGTATCAAAAGGTATGATAACTTTCACTTTTTGTAACTGAATTTTGGTAGTCAACTATGTTTTGATTCCTGTCGTCTTACATTTGAAAAATATAGTTTGAATATTTTCAGTCAGTAATACACATTTAAGGAAGTCTAAATTCCATACATAGTAAAACGTAGAAAGCACCTAATGACGTCAAATCATTAAAACATTTTCTGTTCTGTAGATGCTCAGGAACGCCGTCGTGCGGGTAGTGGTCCCTACAGAAAGGTACTACTTGATTCTATTATCATTGTTCTTGCATTCTTCTATTCAAGCTCTTTGGTTCGTCCATTTTGTCGATATGATTTCACACGGGAAAACAGTGAATCACATGTACTTGGAGTTGTTTCTTAGCATCTCCAACGAGTTTTTGCAGATTTTTTAAAACAACAACTTTTTTTCTTTTTCTTTTTTTTGCGTATGGGAGGTTTCTGTAACAGCAATTAGAAGAGAAGGAAGTGTTATAAGAAGTATAATTCGATGACTCGTGGCAATAATTCTTGGTTATTATTACTGCAAAAAATGTTTGTAGTAGAGCATGATATGAAAAAGCGATATTTTTTACAGATAATAATGTAATGAATGTAATGCAGACTTTTAAATTATTGCATTTCCATGTATTCACTTACCAAATAATATATTTGTATATTTTTGGGGCGCGGGATTTTTGTTGAGCGCTGTGACTAATCTTTTTTGAAAGAAGAATGAACAAATTTTGAGTTAAACGCTCTTGTTTTCCCCAATAACTCAACGGCGCTGCACATCCTTGTTCTCGTTTGTCACACATGTTTTCAGCAATTACTTATCGCGGTCAACTGATAAAAATTCGATATGGAATTTTCAAAATACAGTAGCATCAAAAAATTTTCTAAATGACTTCATCTTCCAACTTTTTTCGAAATGCTGTTATTTGTTTTCAGAAGTCTGTTGGTATTAATTCATCGGACTATCGAGTTTTTGGTGCGTGAAGGACCGCTATTCGAAGCAATGTTAATGGGTCGAGAACGGCATAATCCTGTATATCGGTATGTTTTCCACAGCAGCAAGAAATATTTTGTGGTTTTAATTTTTCGAGAAGACATTTTTCAAAATTTAAATAATTCGCATGGCTTTCAAGGTTTCTTTTCGATAATCACCATCCAGCACACGTTTATTATCGATGGAAACTATATTCCATACTACAAGGTGAAACACCACAAACTTGGCGCTTGCAGAAGTTTCGAATGTTCGATGAGGGTAGCTGGTGGCAGCCACCACCTCACAATATTCTCACTGGTGGAATGCCCGAATGCTTATATCATACTGCTTTTGATGGTGGTTTGCCAGCTGAAAGGCCTGTAGTAAGTAGTTTTCACATTTGAAACTGGAATTTTTTTGTTGATGCAATCAAATTAAATGGTTGAATGACTGCTACGCAATTTTTTGAATTTAAAAATTTTCTGAAGTTTCAAAATCAAAAATTCTCACACAATAATACTGTTTGATATTTTTTCTTTTATTTGTTTATTGTTCTTTTCTGTAGGTTAAATCGCGAAAAAGGAAATACAGCAGCAGCGAGGATGAAGAAGAAGATAGAAAAGAAATTAAAACAAAATGGCGAGGAGTACTGAGCACTGCTGAACGAGACGAGCTTGAGGTTTTATTGAATGTACTCATTTTTTATTGGGAGTTAAATTTTATTTATTTCTCATTGATCAATGAGTTGTAGGATATACTCCGTGGACTTCTTCCTGAAAAATCTTCCGTAGCAGATGCAATGGTTTGGTGTGTTGAACATGCTACATGTGCCAAAGAGATCTCTCAGTGCTTGCACGAATCATTGACTATTGATGAAACACCACTTCACAAGAAGGTATCGTTATATAACTCGTTTGATTCTTATAAAAAGAAAAAAATTCAATTTCAGATAGTCTGCTCTGTGTTTCTATGCATCTCTGCCATCCTCACTCATCCCCTTATCGTTCTTCAGATTCATGCAGTGTTGCTTTATTTAATAGTATTTTGAAGTAATTCTCAGATTTTCAACATTTATGTTGTAAATTTGGTGGAAATATGGAAAGATTATGTTTTTGAGCTTCTGTTATCATGAAAAATTAGATTTAGGTCATATGAATATTTTAGGAAATAGTTCTTCATGCTGTTATTTCGTAATATTCTTTGAAGTCTTTCATACTTCTTATTAGAAATTGGAAGCTGATTTTAACATGTTAGTTTCGCATTTTTTTAGATCGCTAGATTGTATTTAGTTTCGGATATATTGGCAAACTGTGCTGCCCGAGTTCGAGATGTGTTTTACTACAGGCAATATATTGGCGACTTGATGCCCGAGATTTTCAGGGTATTTGTATTACCACATTTTCAATATGTAGAGTGAAACAAAAGTTCTTATGTGCATTTAGTGCGATTTTTTAAGACTTGAGGATTTAGTGATCTTTGCAATAATCCTGCTGCTTTTTAGGAACTCAATAAAACTTACGAAAAAATTTCGGCGCGCTTAAAAGCTGAACAATTCAAGCAACGAGTGATGTTATGCTTTCGCACTTGGGAAGATAATTCAATTTATCCAACTGATTTCCTCATTCAATTACAGAATGTCTTCTTGGGCCTTGCGGTTGTTTCATATCTTTCTATTAAGAATTTAGTACAGTAACACAGGCACTTTTTTTTGAATTTCACCAAACTTGATAACTTAATTTTTTTCTCAACATTTTTGGCCTACGTTCAGTGTTTTGGTTTGTGGTTGCACTCATATTTGATTTGATGTTGTTTAGAAAGAAGATGAAGCATCAGAGGATGATATCGATGGTGCTCCGATTGAGGAAGGCGCAGAAGAAATGGTTGGAAAGAAGGAATCAGTTTTTGAAGAGGAAGATATCGATGGCATACCTATTGAGGAAGATACCTTAGAGACACAGCCAAAGAAAGCAGCGACATTTAAACGAAGCCAGTGGGATGTTGTGAGTTAAAATCACTGCTTCATTGTTTAGGATTATTGTTAAGAGCTATAATCTTTAGAACCGCATTCTACTTTTTTTGACAGTTTTGCTTTTCTTTTGTAGAAAATGTGTAATTTTTTAGGTAGATCCATCAATTGTTGCGAGTCAAGCTGTAACTACTAGCAAATGGGATTTATTGGAAAATGGTAAGGATGATGAAACAACAGCGGGAAAAGTTGATCAAGAAGATGACATTGATGGTGCTCCAATCGATGATGATAAAAATGGAAGCGAAGATGGAGAATGTCCAGATGAAGATGATGATGACAAGTTTGTTTTTTTTCTTTTTAAGGCCTAAACTGGGATCATTAGTTTTTACTTTAATAATAAAAACATCTTTCCTTTTTATAGTTCCCTGTACTATTTTAATATATTTCCCTTTTCGAGAGAGAGGTTCATTGACTTGCTTTATTTTATTGGTTACTATGTTTTTCTTTAATGTGCAGAACGATTTCAAATTTGCAACAGTCTTTGAATTTATCTGCCGCACGCCTCGATGAGGAAAGACGAAAGATTCTACGTGAAATTGAGGTATGTTTTATGAAGTGGATGTGATTACACTCTCATATTAGTTCCAATAATTCTTTTAGAACGATTTATGTTTTTGTGTCTGTTTGTTTGGAATTAACTGAATTCATTTTTAAAACGAACTGTTTTTTACAGGTAAAAGTTGTCAAATATCAGGATGAATTGGAATCTCAACGATGTGAGGATATTCATGCCCAGGTAGAAAAATATCGTGCTTCTCTATTAAAACAAATGGAAGAAAAGCTGGATGCACTAAACGAACAAAAGGACAAAAAGAAGAAAAAAGGAGCAAAAAGGTAATAATTGCTTGATTCTGTTCGCCTCTTTTAAATATGTAGTTCGTAAATAATTTTGATTTTTTTTTGGTTCATATTTGTGATCTGGTCGTTTAGTTGTGCAGTAGATATTTTCTGTATATGTATTTAAAGAAAAAACATGGGCAATACCATATAGAAAGATATCTTTCTTAAAAGGTTTCAAAATTCAGCTTTTTATTTCGTAAAATTGTTACGCTGTTCAAAATGAATCCTTATTTCTTTAACCAAACTAATTTATATGAAAAAAAGGTGAATGTAATTTGAGATCAAGAAGCAGAAAACGGGAAGATAAAAAAGATGATAAGAGTTTCCGAGAAAGAGAGCGTGAACGAAGCAAAGGTGAAATCGAAAGAAATGAACGAACACGGGACAGAGATAGGGTACTCATATTTTCTGAAATTTTCTTTTTTTCATTTTTCAAAATTAAAGATTCTGGAATGACTCGAATGAATTTTGATTCATGTATTTTAGAGATAGTAGAAAGTGCAGAGGAAATTGGTTCTATATGTAACAGAAAATTTTAGGAAAGAGGTCGTGAAAGGGGACGTGAGCGCGACAGATCAAGATCACGCTCAAAGTAAGTTGTAAGTTGAAGTTAGTAGGACAAAGCTAAACTTTGCATAGCTAAGAAAGATTTATGTTATTTTGTTTCCAATTTCCAATGAAATAGTGAATTAACGGCAAGAGAAGCAATCGGAGTTATTAGGTACAGTGAAATAGGATGTGAAGAATGGGTTTTGGAGGAGTATGTGTAACCATGACAACAAATAGATATTTAATGGGAAATAAAGGTGAAGAATGGTAATAAGTTCTCAATATCCGTGATTGATTTCTGTGCTGTAATTTAGCAGTATGTTTGTTTTGATATACCATCGTATTACAGGGAAAGACGAATGTTAAGAAGAGAACGCAGTCCAGACAGAAGGAAGCGTTAATTGTTTCTATTTATTATTTTTATGTTTGTGTATCTCCTCTGATTTACTTTAATTGAGTTCTTTTATCTTTCCATCTATCATGCCTACCAAAACAGTTTTGCAAGTTAGATAGAAAAAAGTTGGAATTAATTTTTTAGTTTTTTTGCTCTAGATAAGTTGAAATGACATTGATATCTATTACCTTTCAGCAGAAATATAAAAAGGAGCCAAGTTCCCTTCCATTCTGAAAGGAAGAATAAATATTTCAAGCAGTATGCGTCTAACGAATTTTATTTATTTTCACAATAATCTCAAGGAATATTATTTCGTTCTCACACAAAGCTGTACTTTTACTATCCTGTGATTACTTGTATCCCTCGTACTTGCTACTTTTGTTACTGTTGTTAGTAGCCTAAATGCAATTTATTTTGCTTTTGTGTTTCTTTGCAGTGATGTTTTTTATTTTCCAATTATATTATTAGAACGTTAATTACCGGTTCGAACTGCTGCGTTCTTTTGATGATCACTTCTATGAAGATAAATTAAAGTGACTTATTGAAGTAAGATCGAGCATTGGCTCAGGGGTGTTCCGCATTTGCAACACAGATCTTGGAATATATCTCCCAAATATAAAGATTTAACTGACTGAGACTGTGTTAACAGAATGTTAACATGGTTGTCAAAAAAATCGAGAATATCTTCATTGGTTACTTACGTAGAAAGGAAAAGAAATAAAGTGTTGATATAGGCATATCTTCTGGTAATTTCTTTTATTGAGATTCCGACACTAAGATTTAAGATAAGTTGTCAGGAGTGGATATGTTGTTTTGTCATTGGAACAATGAAATTTCGTTGGAATTGCTTAATTAGTTAAGGATTGCTTAACTAATTAAGCAATCAGTATGACAGGAAGTGAGCGACAATTTCCGTACTAGAGATTAGTGATATCAATCTTTTTTGAAAAAAAAACTGCCTTATATTGTTCATTGACCCTTTTTTTTATTTTACTAGAGGAGGAACTCAAAGAAGTGATAAGAGAATTTATAAACTAAATTGGGCAATAATTTTGATTTTAATTTATTTCCGTACACCCATAATTCTTTTTTTTTTTGAGAGGCATACTAACGGTGGAAGAATATAAAATAGCATTAAAAATTGGTGAGAAATTAATTACGGATAAGAACTGCGTGTAGTCTGACATCATCTGAAACATGGTAATGGACTACTGATCTTGCTCAGATAGGAATAAGAGGAAATAAAAATTATCCATAATCGATTGAAGTTCAAGAGAGTAAAAAAAGCACTATTCAGATTTTTTTTTTTGTATTATAATTTAAACAATGAGCTACAGTTTGAAGAGCGGTATAGTAAATTAATTGTATTTGATGATAAGCATTCTTAAATGCTAAAGATATCATACAATTCGTTTCATTTACGTTCAGTGATGACATATTTATATAATTATTGAAAAAATTTTTGTAACGAATTGTAAGTAAGTCTTTTCTTCCTGTAAAGAAGAAAGAGAATAATAACTTCATTTTTTTTGCAAACTTTTTCACACACATTTACATCTTTTATCACAAAATAATGTCGTGAAGTTTTAGCGAATTTATCGTTCATATCGATACATTAGAATGGACGAATGATGATATCCTTGAACGGTAGCAGCAGCAATGGTGCGTAGTAGTAGTAGTAGTAGTAGCAACAGCTGTAGCATTGACAAATTTAGGTCATATCTTTTATAGGCCATAACGATGAAATCATTCAACCTCTTTTTACCCTCTCTCTTTCTCTTTCTCCTTCCCTCTTTCTCTATCTCTCTCTTTCCATACAAAAGCAAAGTTTTTCTATTGCTTTACCAAACATTTTTATTCATTTAGAAACTGAATTGTGAGAATTTAGTTTTAAAGGGCAGTTTGAATGAGTTATCAAACACTCAATCAAATTTACCATTTTTCAATTTTTTACATTTCTGTTAAAATAATATTGAATTATTATTGAAGTTATATTATTTGCATTTCTGTTTATCTATAATTCATAATAAACAAAAGTTTATCAAAACCGCTTAATTTCTTCTAAAACTCTATTATTCAACGTGAAAAATCAACAAACAAAATTGTTTTGTCGTTATGTTGCTGACTGGATTACTAACTGGTAATTCAGCTATATTTTAAAAACATATATGATATTTAAATTGTAAAAATTCAGTTAATATATTTTGCCGTTAAGCTTTTCTAAAATTTAGATAATGCAATTGCACTAAAATATGAGAACAGTAATAAACGTATTTTATTTCATGTATTATGTAAACTGATATGAAATGGACACATAAAAGAGATCTCAAATGTCATAATGCATTTTTGATGATATATAGCAGTATTGCAAATGCATTTAGAATGGTAGCAACCATTTCTAATACAAACTTTGAAAGAGTCAAAAAAAGCTAATGAAAATAGAAAAACAAAACGTTTTGTACTTTGAATTAAGAACAAGCTTGAATGATGTCCACTCTGTATGTGACAGTCAATCTCCCTTCTTCTCATTCATATCTATGAAATTGAACAAGTTTGCAACTATATTCCTAATTTTATCGCATTTCTTCCCTCATCTTATTTTTATACCATTTATCCAACAAGAAAGAAATGGCAATTTTTCTAATCTTCGTAAACTTTTACTATCCATTTCATAACTTTTCTTATTATTTTAATTGTTTGTTTGTTTATCCCATCAATATATATTTTTAAGAAATAAACAAAAAGTTATTTCAAAATCCACGACCGCTAATACAAATTGTACATTTCTGGGCACAAAATACCACATTCACAAATGCTTCATTACATTTTCTTTCATCTAAGCACTAAATCATCATGAAAATATTTGAAGCACTATAATACATATATAATTAATTATTTACTTGACTAATTGTTACAGTTTATTTATTTGTTAAATTTGACAAACTTAAAAAAACAAACATGCAAAAACCATATGTGCAATTTAATCTTTACAAAATGAAATTAACTTTTTTTTGTACAATTTTTTCCTCATAAATTAAAACTGTTACTGTTTGTTATCTATTATCGTGACATAAAACTGGTCTCGAAATGATTTACCTCTGGACAATATTTGTTTTGAAAAGAGGTTGAGGTACAATTTCTCACTGTTTCTACATCATTTTTGTTATTTCCAATTTTATATTTTAACATTTATTATTTTCTTAAAATGCTTGACAAATTTCAAAGATGATAAATGGTCGATTGTTATCTAAAAACTGCATTGAATATATGATAATAATAGAAATGTTCAGCGACGAAAATTTGCTTTGCTCTTATTTCTATCCTAATTTTGACAATTTTTTCTTTGTAAATTTTGTCATTCATTAATTAAATAATGAAGCATCAATGCTCTACCAATGATAATTTAAAAAGTTGAGGTTTAAACGAATAATTTTTTTATTTATAAATCTTAAAATTTTTTTTTTTGCCATTTTTTTCGTATAATTCTTCGCCGAGTTATTTAAAGTGCGGAAAATTTAGTGCTTTGAGAAATATTTGGCACTTTTTGAAAAGATGTCGAATAGTGCAGAAATACGGAATGAAATCAATGTACCACAACTATTTTCGGATGTATCGCATACATTAAATGGATTCAAGAATTTATTCATCCCATCTTCGAGAACTTCTGGTGCAGAAGTAACAGCACATTATGATGCCCCTTCTTTATCCAATACTGTTGCTGATATCTTCTCGGGCAATGTATGTTTCAAGGCATGTGGTATGGAAGATATCCAGTTAGCTGCCCAGGTTTGTCATTTATCATTTATAAATTTCAATTTATTAGAATGAAAGAGAAAATCGAAAAAAATAGTCAAGAATTGCTAAATAAAAGATATGAAAAGATAATTGATTTTTTTAATCTATCATCTTTTTATATCTTATAAAGTTTTAAAACATAGAATATTTTATCCTTCTATTTGGTTACATTCAAATGAATTATATTAATTAAGGAATTGAAAATAATTTTGGAATGTTTTTTACAAGTTTCAAATAGTATATTTATTTCGAATGAAGTTACCGTTTGCAATAATTTCTTTTTTTTTTAAAGAAAGCTAGTGAACTATTCATAACTGTGCGATACTGTATTATTACGCTAACAATATTCGTCATTATTTGTATGATTTTACTTTCAATGGTACTTGCTTGGTATCTGCTCAAGACAACATTAATCTTTGATGGACGCTGTGGACTACCAATTGAATCAACCTTCAATGGTACATCATCCATGTTCAATCATAGCCGTTATCAAAAAACTCGATCAGCAACTCCAACGAGAGAAGACTTGAGAAAATAATTTCTTGCTAATTTATTCAATAATCAAACAAACATTATGCATTAAAAATTTCTTAGTCTCTCTCCCTTTTGAAATTCTTTAATAAATTATAGTATTGATATGAAAAAGTATGAAATGTTTAAATTTAAAATGAACAAAATAAACTTGTGAAAGCTTTTTGCTGAAATTGAGAATGCCTTACCAAATTATATAAGAAAATATGCATTCTTGGTGTATGTAATCTTTAAAATATACCGAAATAATTTAAATGAAAAACAAGCATCAGTAAATTATCAATATAAAGTAGAAAATTTTTCATAAGTTCCTTAATCATGATTAGAGGAAAATTCGTACCATTCTCCATCGATAAACTCGATGATTGTTTTATTACCGAAAGACTACATTTTCCTACGACATAAATCTTTTAGTATTTGCATGTTATAAGCTTTTGTCCTTAACGACCAGTTTACTTATAGTATTATCAATTTACTCGCATATATATTGTAACATCAATTAATATTCATTTAATAGAATGTTCATTTATTCTATTAATCGCAATCTATGTTATCCTGAATTCAACTATTGCGGTGCATTTGTAAGAACTAAAAATTATTAAAGTTTAAAGTTCCTTAATCATATATTTTCAGCAAATATATCCTCTTTTTGAATATTATATATCGTTGCTTTGTTATTTCTAATTTCATATAAAGGTAATAAATGAATTAATTTGAAAAAAAATTTGCGATACTGCTAATATCATACTTTTTCTATGTAAATCAAAGAAAAAACAAGCAAGTTGAAATACTGATAAATTCCGCACTGCTGATAACACTAAACATTAAAAGTTTTCAAAATAATTAAAAGCAAATTTTTAAATAAAGTAAACAGTTTGATAAGAGAAATTGCAAACTAATAACATCTTATTCCAAAGACTAAATAAAATAAATCAAGAAACTATTCATTTTCTAATTAATACAAGGTAAAATGTGATAAATTCCATCAAAATAATGTTTGTAGCAAACCTTAAATTTTAACAAAAACTCATGCTAAAGTTTATTTTTTGTTTAAATCTCTGTTATTTGCCTTCACTAAATTTGTTATCAAAATTTAACAGGTTTTTATTAATATCATGCAAAATTAACGATATGATTTATGCAACATATCATAAAGTATTCATTTCGCATATCTCTCATCAATGAGTTTTAAAAATCTGTAAGCATTATCATTGCGCAAAATGATACTGTCAAAATTTTTAAAAATAATAAGGATGGGCATACTACGCATATGGTACATTCATTAAGAAGAAGGGAGTAATAATATATCATAGAGAGAGAATTAAATTTCATATAACTAAGATTGGTCATTTCTCATCCACTTATCTCCATTTGACCTATCATTACCTTCATCCTAGACTTTCTTGGAAATTGATCGATCAGTAATGATGTGTAAAGTTCATGAGTTTATAAGAAAAACAAGCGATTTGCTCTTGCTCACAGTACTTTCTCTTCCAATTTTAATGAATCTCTATTGAATTCTTCTGCAAGAAGAGTATGTAATATAGCGTTCACCTAAATGCTTCCGAAGCGCTGTTTTTTTTATTTAAATTAATAAAAAAAATATAAAGGAGAAGAATGCATTCTGTGCTTTGAATTTTTTCATACAATTTGAGATTTGTTAAAAGCTAATAGACGATACTCAGCTTTACTTTTTTAGTTGAATTCAGTTTTTCCGTTGTTCAGTTTATGACATAGTAATAGCATTGATTTTATTTTGAAATATGAAAGTTTACTGAAATGTATTTCCATACGACGAACTTAAAAACTCTTCCAAATCATAGTGAAATAGGATATGTCATCAATATCGTCGTTGTTGTTGCTGCATGTTTGATATATACAGAATCCTTGATTATTTATCACAAGCAATATTTTTTGGTTTCACTGCAAATGAATTTTCATTACTGCCGTCGTTAGCCGTCGCTACGGTACTCGAGCAGTGTCACCTCAATCTATGTGATGATGTGATCATCGATATCAAATGTAATCGCGTAACGTGATCATCAATACAGTGTTTCTGATACCACGAGAAGCCTCTTTAGGTGTAATGCTATAAAAAAAAAAAAAAACTTAAAGATCACGAATGAATTAATCTGCTAGGAAGGCAACCGATCCCAACTGCGAATAACACCCCCGCCCTCGCATACGCAACAAGCGTAGAGTTGCATGTTGAGAGTGGAGGACGAGTAAAGTTTCATAGTGACACAAATAGAAGCCTTGGTGGCCCGCGTTGAAGTTTGATGTTATGAGGAGGCGAATAAAACGGCAGCGGTGAATATTGTGTCGTGTGGGTGTGTCGTGTCACAATGTTTCTTCAATTTAGATTGCAGTGGCATTGCATACGAGCACCATATCCGGTGCTATTAGATCGGATGAGATACAATCTATTGCGATG